CTTATAGAATAAGTGGATTCTATTTAAATTCATGAAACAAGGGAGAATACATCAATATTAAGAAATTCATTATAATCTAAGTTGAGAACGCCATAAATATTATATATACTGATTTTCATATTATTCTATTTTAAGTCTCATTCCACTCGAGAAAAATTAAGCCTCGGCGTTCAAAAAAAAAAAATCTATTAGGAACCAGAATTGAGAATTAACTAGTCTGGCTCAAGGTCGAGGCCGGTTCTTGGTTCCCGAACCCAAATCGTGGGAACCCCAATTAAATCAATTTTTTATATAATTTTTTATTTACAGTTTACAAACTATGTAAAAAAAAAATACAAAACCTTAAAATCCTAATTTGGATAGTAATTTGTCTAAAATTCTAAAATCTAATCTTAAAAAAGTAGGAATTTCTTAGACTTTTTCAGCCCTCGTCTCACATCAAATTGTTGCATTACAAAGGTTAGTACTGTTAAGTTTATTAATTCGTCATGTGGGTCTACTTATATAATTAATTATTTATAAGGCTATCTTAATATTGAGCACAATTAAAATGATCTAATAAAAAATTAAATTGTTGGGCTTAGGGCATCTGAATAAAGTGTAGGCTGAATTATATGTGTAGAGACTAGATTCCTTTATAATTGTATTTCATGATGGGCGAAATACTTGGATATATATAGAGTTATGGTCTTCAATTCATATGTGATTTTCATTCTTTTTATTATCTCATCAACATAAGAATATATGAGAAAACATATTAAAGGGGAAGATTCAAAATCCACAATCAAGATCAAGAAGAAGAAATTCAAGAATCAAGACTATGGATCTAGAATGAAAATCAAGAATAAGAATTAAAGAATTAATTGACACAAAATTCAAGATTAAAAGTGAAAAAAAACCAAACATAAAAAGATTGATTTTCGAACTTTAAGAATCAAGATCCAATAATAAAGAATCATTTCCAAAGAATTAAGGAATGTTCCACATTATTAATTTTCTTGGTGAATTGACATGAAGGATCTTGGTAATAAAGAAATTTCGGTTTTTAAAGTTCTAAAGTTTCTAATTTTATAAAGTTTCATAAAGTTTCAACAAGTAGTATCAGAGTCAATTCATGTTAAATTATTGAAATTAAAGGAAGATTTTTGGGTAGAAAATCGTACTTTGGTTTTATAAAATTTTGGGATCTGAATTTCAAACCCTAAATTTCAAAATTTTAGATTTTTGGAAATTTTTTCAAAAAATTAGGATCATTGCAGCACTGCAACGCCGCATTTAAAG